GGTGGCGGAGGTAGTGAGGGAAAAATACAAGATAGCAGTACTTTATATGTGAAACCAGACTTGTTGGTGTATATTAACAATGTGGAAATTTGGGTTAGTAGTGAAAACCTTTCTTCAACTTTCACAGTTATAATTTATAAAAATGAATGCCCTTGTGTGTGAACTTTTTCTGTCCCGCCCTGCCAGAAGTTAGGATGTATATAATGTTATATGGTTGTCAGATTTTAAGAGAATATCTAAATTAACTCTGCATTCCTACAGTGAATTCTAGATGGGTGATGTATTAAAATGTATACTGCTTAAGTACTTCATCTGATTTTTCCTCAAGGCTATCCTTAACACCGACTTTTTCAGTGAAACAGCTCCAGTTGCGTATGATGCTTCTGGTATGGCTTTTCTGGTAAGAGCTGTAAAGGTAGAAATTGGGTCTCATATTATCTGGACCTTTGAAATGAACGGGAATTGACATCTGTATTTTATCTCACAATTGTCTGTATTAGAATATAGTTGAATGCTGTTCATCTAGGTTAATCAGAAAAAGCATGCCAGGGCAAGCATTTGGTTGTTCAGTCACTCAGTTGTGTCTGACTCTTTGCAACCCCATGGATTGTAGCATGCCTGGCTTCCCTGTCCTTCACCATCTCCTGGAGCTTGCTCAAACTCACTTCCATTGAGTCGGTGATGCCATCCAGCCATCTCGTCCTCTGTCATCTCCTTCTCCTCCTGCCTTCAATCTTTCCCAGCATCAGAGTCTTTTCTAATGAGTCAGCTCTTCGCATCAGGTGGCCAAAATATTGGAGCTTCAGCTTCAGCATCTGTCCTTCCAGTGAATATTCTGGGTTGATTTCCTTCAGGATTGACTGGTTTGATCTCGTTGCAGTCCAAAGGACTCTCAAGAGTCTTCTCCAACACCACAGTTGTCAGGACCATGATCTTTCAGGGGAAGCATAGATCGTTAGTAACCAACAAGTATTTATTATAAGATTTACTGCATGAAAATGACAGTGAATCTTTAAGATTTGTATTCCAATAGCTTTGACTACTTCTGTTACCAATTTCACTGTTAAAGAGTCAAATGGATTGGTTAGAAGGTTACCTGCTCTCCTTTCTGCTCCCCTCTCTCCTTTTATAGTTGTCAATCAGTAATTGAGTATTTTGAATCCTAGAAGTAGAAAGGAAGGAAAAAGGAGAAAAGGAAAGACAGAAAATTCTTTGACTATGCTTGGATTAAATGAATATCTAGAATATCTAATTTAAATATTAAAAATAAAGCTCTATAGGAAGTATATGAACTAGTAAAAATTCAGATAATTGAAAACAGTTAATTCATTTAAGTTAGATTTATTATCAGTTACCTCTAATTCTTGTAGCATATTCCCTGGATTTAGATCACTTGAGTTTAAATTCTGCCTTCTGTATTTACTAGGTGTGACCTTAGGCAAGTTTTAATATTTTTTAAATAAACATTTTCATGCCTTGGTTTCTTTTTATGTAGAACATGGATAATATGCGTTACCTAACTCCTGTAATTGTTTTGAGGGCTAGGTGAGATAATACATGTAACAGTGCTCAGCAATACTTTCTAAACATCTAGCAAATACTATTTGTGTATCTTTTCAATCATCTCTTCAACATCTATCCATCCATCCATAGCTGTTCATCTGTGTCCATCTATCCATTTTTTTTAATGTTTTTAACAACAGATTGATGATTTGTTTTCCCACAGAATATGTAGAACTTTTGAAGTATAAAATGAATTTAATTAACCAGAGGGTGGGGGAAGAGGAGACAGCCCGGAAGAATCAAGTTATATGCAGAGATCTAGAAGTTTTAATTTAAATCCTCCAGCTAAATGAATACCCTAAATTTATTTCCACCAGTTCACTTAATAAAATTTATATGGATGCATGGACAAGTGCTTGGGCCTGGTGCACTGGGAAGACCCAGAGGGAGCAGGTAGAGAGGGAGGTGGGAGGGGGGATCGGGATGGGGAATACATGTAAATCTATGGCTGATTCATGTCAATGTATGACAAAACCCACTACAATATTGTAAAGTAATTAGCCTCCAACTAATTAAAATAAATGAAAAAAAAATTTAAAAAATATTTATGGAGTGTTTTCTTTGTGTAAAATAAGTACTAGGTGCTGTGGGAATACAGAGAAGTCTAGTATTTTGTTCTTTCCCTGGAAAAGTTTGTAATCTGATTGGGATTACTGACTTAGGTGGTAAACAATCTGTCTAAAATGCAGGAGATCTGGGTTCAATCCTTGGGTCAGAAAGATCCCCTGGAGAAGGGAAGGGCTACCCACTCCAATATTCGTGCCTGGAGAATTCCATGGATAGAGGAGCCTGGAGAGCTGCAGTCCATGGATTGCAAAGAATTGGACATGACTGAGCAACTAATGCATAAAAATATAATTATAGTATATATTTTAAAAAGATTGTTTAAGATAGTATGCATTGTGTTGAATAGGTTATATAAAAAATAAAATTTCAGGGTATTTATTAGAAGTGATTAGAAGATGGGTGGATCTAGTTACCTGGAATAGGCTCAATTAGTTTCCTAGTGATAAG